AAAAAAAAAAAAAATTAAGGGCATCATGAATTAATATTGCATACTTAGAAATGTATTTTAAATACTTACCAAGAAGAATGAAAAATTTTTAGTTGCCTTATATACAAGTAAAACAAGGCTGTGAAAAATAAGAACATGTGTACTTTGAGGGAGCAGGCCCCTGAGAGTCAGTTCCCTGCAGCACTTTGTGGTCTTTCCTGCTCTCACTTAGCTGATCAGAGATACACTGCCTATTAAAAACTTTGTAAAGATACTCAAAAATATTGAATTACTTTTAATGAACCTTCGTATTTGCTCATGGTGTTTAACGTGGCTTTTACTTCAAATCACTGAATTACTGATGAGATGACGAGAGGGACGCACTTGTTCTGCTGTTTTTGTTTATGCATGGTGGTGATTCTGTCATCGTTCTTCCTGTTTTTAAAGACCCAGCCATAAAACTTTAAAAATGTTCCTAATACATTTAATGTACAATCTGAAAAGAGACTGCGGTAACTGATGCCCCACACGTTTCATCTCTGCTAGTCAGTGCCTTTCTAATGTCATTTTTTTTCTGTGAAGAAAAGTACCATATATAAAACTTATTGCTGTAAACCAAATTACCACATTAGTGGTTAATTGGAGTTTATTAAAATGATCATTATAAACAGCTTCATAACAAATGTTCTAGTATTTTGTGTCTTTAAAACTGACTTAATCAGGAATTTGGGATATCTAATTATGTTTTTCATAGGAATCACAGCAATTGAAAATGTTCTGATGTTAAGAAATGATATTACACTAATGGCTTATTCTAAACATGCATGCATAAAACAGTGAACTAAGAAAAAGTACAGAAATTGATAAAACTCATTTCAGTTGGTTTAAAAATAAACTTTCAAGTATGCATTCATTTTTACTTGATTTAATCTCCTGGGACAGAGGTAATTCATGAGTAACGTGTAATAATGTCTGTTGTGTTTATTGAAAAATGCTTTGAGAGTTGGATTACTTGCATATGTATTACTGAGAGAAATAAAACATGCAATACATTGTTCATAGGTGTGAAAATGCTGTGAGTTTGTGTTATTCAGAAACATTTGCTTTTACTTTTTGTCTTTCCCTTTTCTTCTGATCCTGTAATAGAAGCTAGATTAAGAGTTACGGAGCACTTTAAAACGTGCTAGTCTGGGCGATGCCTGTGGCTCATAAGGGTAGGGCACCGGTCCTATATGCCGAAGGTGGTGGGTTCAAACCCAGCCCCGGCCAAAAAAAAACATGCCAATCAAGGAAAGCTTTTTCCCAGGGACACTGGCCCGTTTACCACCTTAGAGATCTGTGGCACGGACCTCTAGTACAGGGGAGTGAACGCAGTTGACCAGAGGCCCAGCTGCACTTTGAAATCCTTTGCTTCATTTGCATTGAGGCCGTGCCTTCCATGATTTCTCTCCGCCACTAACTAAGCATGGCAGGTGTACTAAAACAGGTCCTTCCTGGGAGACACAGACCTTCTCTGACAGCTGACTTTGGTTGGAAGATGCCTCGGTGGCCTTGGAGAACCTTCCTTAACAGTATGCACAGCATGGCAGTCTGGAAGGCTTCTACCCAGTGTCGCTCGCTCTATCCCTCTGTCCCCCTTCCCCTCCGTCATCCACTTCAGGCTCAGACTGCAAGCCTGAAAACTCACTCAGGCCTGCATTATCCTGTGGGAAGGCTCACATTGAGGACTGTAGCAAAACAAGGGCATCGAAATCAGAACAGAACAAAAAAGGGAAGAAGGTGCACCCAAGCTTTGTAAGAAAAGTTCAGTCTGGGTGAACTTCCGTAATTTGTTTTATAAGTTAGTCTTGTTTTTATTTTTAATTATGTCTGAAGGGGAACACTATCATCTTTACGGAGCTCTGGGTCTTCTAAGCACGTTGACGTGGTGCCACTTGGACATGTATTTTTAGCAAAGTTCCATGTGCATTTCTAAGGTACAGCCACGACTAAAAAATAATGTTCTGGATTTAAAATAGTCAGACTTGTAAAGAGCTCTACAGATCTCAGTGCCAGTTAAAATATACAGAAGGTGTTAAAAAAAAATGTAAACACATTTTAAGAAAGGAAAATATATTGAATTTGTAATAAGTCACATTTGACTTCTGCAATTACAAAAAGTGCTGTGATGTGCATTCATCTTTTGTTATGAGTATATATTGATTATTACAATTTTATACAGTTTTTTCCTTTCTTAAAATGTATATACATGTTTTTGGCACCCTCTGTCGAGTTGTAATTACTGCCAGAAGTAGAAGAATCATCATTTTATTGGGGAAAAACCAAAGATTCTTAGAGAATGGTAGATTGTTCGTATCTGGATCATCTGTCCCATCATATAAGCCCTTTGTGAATCACTGCCAGAATGACCATCAGTACTGGTGGAAATACATTCTCTGCCATGTGTCTTGGCTCTGAGAAAAATTGAGACCTACTGGAGCAGAGGGAGCACATTTCTCTGGATAATTGTGCCTCTACTGGAAGAATTCAGGCTTGTTTTTGAATTTATGCTGGAGAATTCTTACATATGGCCTAATACTACTGTGACAGTTTACTAGTAGGACTGAGAAAATAAAAACTTGGATATGAGACATAAAACTTTTCTCTATTCTAATGCACAATCAGAATGAAGAACGAAATGCATGGAGTTCAACTGTAAACCATTACAGAGTTCTGCTGATACCAGAAGCAGAGAAAACATGCCCAAGATGCATACTTTAGCCTAACTGGTGAGGGGCTTGCCAGAGAAGAAATGGTAGGACGTTATAGGGTGATATTGTAACAAAGGTGTTCAAAGACTGCAGTTTGAATGGAAGCTATAAAGCATTAGCTTCATCAGAGGATGCTGCTGCAAATTAGTTAAGCAAGACTTATTGATGGTTTAAATTAAGCAGCCACTCTGGAACAGGGCACATTTCTTGTCCCTGTGGAGTACTGCTCGAGTCTTAACCTTCTTTGACACTTCTGATCAAATCTTCCTTACTTCATTCAATTCAGAGTGATTCATACTTTCAAAAATAGTAAAAAAGAAGGAAAAGAAAAAATAGGGCATGAATTAGAGGATTAACATTAGAGTCCTTTTTCTTTTGAGACAGAATCTCACTTTCTGTCCCCTGTAGAGTGCCTTGACGTCACAGCTCACAGCAACCTCAAACTCTTAGACTCAAGTGATCCTCTAGACTCAGCCTCCAGAGTAGCTGGGACTCCAGGCACTCTCCACAACACCCAGCTATTTTTAGAGAAGGGTCTCCCTCTTGCTCAGGCTGGTCTTGAACCTGTGAGCTCAAGCAATCCACCCACCTCAAGCTCCCTGAGTGCTGGGATTATAGGCATGAGCCACCGTGTCCGGCCCTAGAGTTCTCTTTCAATAAAGATTTCCTGGACTCTGCAGTTGTTTGAATAATCTATCGAATAGATAGAGTAGATTTGAATATCTTGTGTTATTGTGTAGTAGTTCTTTTCTTTAAGCCAAGAGAAGGGAGTCACACACATGTAAGAGTCTGGAATAGCTGTAAGGTCTATGGGACATTTGAATCTATCTGGAATTATTGACAGCAGGAAATGATTGCTTATGTAAAAGATTCCTATGTTTAAAGTTTAAACACTCTTTAAAATATAAAGAAAGCTTAACTCTCTCTAAAAAAAAAACACTCCTTGCAAGTCAACCCCAAATGAACAGAAATAGAATTGACTTGCGTGACTGTTAGAATCTGTATGGCAGAGACTGATTACCCATGACTTAGAATGGTGAATAAAAATATATTTCCACTTCACCAAAAATTAGTGCTTAAAATCAATTTCTGTTTAATTGTAATGCAGCTCTTTTAGAAACACTAACAATGTTTATTTTGTGTTGGCTAAATTACTTTTAAGTAATAGCACTCATTTTTTAGCAAAAATAATTCACTTGGAGATTTTATTTTAGTTGTACTTAAATTCGTAGAATTGTAGTAATGTTTATGGATTGGGCACGGTGGCTCACACCTGTAATACTAGCACTCTAGGAGGCCAATGCGGGTGGATTGCTTGAGTTCAGGATTTCAAGACCAGCCTGAGCAAGAGTGAGACGTCTTTACTAAAAATAGAAAAAGTAGGTAGGCGTCATGGTGGGCACCTTTAGTCCCAGCGACTTGGGAGGCTGAGGCAAGAGAATTGCTCAAGCCCAAGAGTTTAAGGTTGCTATGAGCTGTGATGCCATGGCATTCACTCTACCCAGGGTAACAGAGTGAGACTCTGTCTCAAAATAATAATAATAGTTTATGGTTGGAAGGTCTTTATATGGAGCATAGTTCTGTTTTCCAGTTATCAATTGAGTCTAAATCCTTAGGGCCACCAGAATGACTTTTTCAGTATATGAAAGCCTGTGTATGGGAGCTCTGCCTGATGGAATTGAATCCACGCAGGAAGCGGGTAAGTCGTCTTTTCAAGTCCTCATCATTTCTTCCTAACCATTCCTAGTTAGACTTAACTTTGAGTCATCCCATAATCCTCACAACTCTCCTTATACAACAGAGTTC